TTTCGATCATCTAACATAAATGCATCGAATGCTCTAGACATAAACTTAGTTTCGTTTGTTTAAAATCATGAATCGATCAATGTTAGACCACTATTGGAAACCTGGAAGCACTGGACAGCCTATGCGCTTCAGAAGTCGTAGATGCACACCACTACTGATGAGTCTCATACATCAGGACAAAATGGCCGTCTATCAGTGATCCCAAGTTTCCCATGGTGTGGTCTAACACTGATCGATTCATGTTTTCAAAAAGTAACTCGACAATCTCCACAACCCTATAATGCAAAAATATCTAGCTCAGTAGTGTCTATCTCAGTGAGGAATCTCCGAGTTCTAGTGAGAAATCGTGACCAGTGGAGTCCAAACCTGTTCGGATGTGAAGCAGTGCTCACCTAATGCAGTGGATTTGGTTGCACAAAACCGTAAATTGATTAAAGTTAGACATTAACACCATTCGCACGCAAGACTAAAGGTCCTGGGTTCGTATCCTAAGAGGTGCTAGAGTCGTGGATGCGCACTGCCACTGATAAGTCCCATACATCAGGACAAAAAGGTTGTCTTTCAGTGATTCCAAGTTTCTAACGGTGTGGTCTAACATTGATCGATTCATGATTTCAATCAAGTAACTGAACAATCTTCACAACCCCGTAATACTGTTAGGATATTCATCCAATATCCTAAGAGAATTATTAGTCAATTCATATTGGTTAATTCCTACTGGTCAATTTTATGGTCGTCGATGTCACGTGCTCCAATGTTGTTCCCTAATGGTCGTCTTAACTGTCAATGTCACAGAATTCGATGCTGTTTCCTATTCGACCAAAATGTATAAATACGCATTATCTGTAACGTTTTATGACCAGGACCAGGACTCGGTCCCGGATCCTAATTCTCTTCTGGATTCATACCTCATACTTTCTGAATGCTTGTAGAACACATGTTCTACTTCATATCACGTCTTCTTATTTTTGTACTAAATATGGGAGTTGGAATAATCGGATTTGAGTAGCATGTGTCGTGTCACCGGATCCTTGATCCTCTCGCTCTCGCGTTTTCCGACTAAGGTGTAAACTCGTAATAATATAGTTCAAGCATATCAAAATGACGTGTTTACACATGCAGGTGTAACAAATACAAACTCAATTACCAAATCATGGTATTTATTTTAAAGAAATTAGATTTTATTATCATTGACAAACTTACATGCTTCTTAAGATCATAATATTGCATTTCAGTTTTAGGATAACCATCAATTATGTAACCATCAGCTTCAGGAAATTCATTCATTGTTGATAAAAGTGTTGCTAAAACTATATCCTATTGAAAAAAAAAAGAAAAAGAATGCAATTTGTGTTTTTTTATTATTTTAGAGTGAATATGTTATACACTGGTGAGCGAATAACCGACTAAAGTGAATCGTATGGAGCGATATGGATAAGCAGCGAATAAAACGAATGAAGTGACGTGAACTAGAGAAGGCTGTTGAGCCAACGCCTTGGATTCCAATGCGAACGAATGGGCGAAGGAATGGATAGATGAAGCGCGTTGGAGAAGGCTAATGAGCCAACTCCTAGAGATAAAGCATGACCAAGAATATATAGTCACAAAAAAAATAAGACAGACATGTAATCAACGAGAGATAGGTATACACACACACATGTGAATAAAAGCGACGAATGATTGACAAGGTCAAATGACAAGTGAGACACGTCATGTGAGTTCATAGGGTTATTAAGAGATTAACATTAAAGCGAAAAGGATGAGTCTGCGCGTAGGCTTAAACAATGCTCAGTCGTACACAAGCTCATACAAACTAGATAATAAAAAATACCAATGGCTATACAAATTGGCTTGGTTACATAAGTTTTATCGAAAGGCGTAATCAAATTAAATATGAGCGAACTCAAGTTTATGTAGAGGCATGACAAATAAAATAAATTTCTATATATATTCTTACATTCGACAATAATTCACCATTATTCATTAATTTTAATGCTTCATTCCAATAAGATTTTTGTAGATTCTTTTGATTGTTTGCTTCAGTTCTCAATAAATCCGATAAATTAACATAAATCAATTTAGGATAATGTGTAATGAATTGTTTAGAAAATTTGCCTCGATCAATACCTGGTCCAGCTATAATACAAATAATTATTGCGTCTAGTTTAATGCTTAGCGTAGGTAGAATAATTTCTGATATTGTATTATTATGTTGAGGGCTATGATCTTTTTCATTTTCTAAAATTACAACAACAAAAAAAAGAAATATATAAAATTGAACAATTGAACAATTGAATTTTTTGTTTTAATTAAATGGAACAAAACTAATATTTTCACATGATAATGAAAACTTAGTAATGTTTAATGCTGAGATGAATTAAACATGCGTAAATTTGAGTAGGAACACTAATAAAAGACATATTTTTTATATGAATTAGTTAAACAGACTCAGCTTTCACACATAATAATTTGCAACTCATATTCTAACACGAATTGAATAAAACCAGATTTGAAATCTATGATTTAAAAACATTTGAAGTCCCTAGACAATTTAGGTTAAAGATTTGAAACTGTATTGAGGTGAACCTTTGATTGATGAATAGTATTGCGATTCAGTGAATTGAAAAGACCGTAGCTGCTGACTTGAAGTGGTGGTCGGGCTTGCCTATCCTGATTGCTCTCCCGAACTAAATTGGCTGGAACATGCCAAGCAGGTTGACTGGAGAACGGTATGACTAAAAGCGACTACTCAGGATCTAAAGGCGAGGTTGTACTACTGACTGTAGAGGGGTGTGATAGCAGTAAGGTGTTTCCCTCAGACAATCAGCATCTGCAGCGATGCTGCCACCTCACAAAGAAGGAAGGGGTTAAAAAAGGTCGACTCTAAAAATTTCACACGTCACCTTGCCTCAAGGATTTCCGTCTCCGGCGGTAAGGCCATTAGAAGAGCGAAGCTAACACGTACTTGTCTCTTTAAAAAGGCCATGAGTGATTGGCCTTAAGCAGTTGTCCCTTGGGTTATGCGGTCACACTTCCAGGTCGATACGATCAACAATCAATCAATTTCCTTTTCAGGTTCCTCACTAAACACCTTTCTGTGTTATGGAAAGCCGGAAAGTAGCATCTACCCTCACACCTGTAGGAGCACATGAGACCGTACTAGTCACAATCAAATCCTTCTTATACCTCTTAATAACCCTCTTACTTCCATGACATAACGTAGGAATGAAAATATTATCATTGTTTCATCCACGATTAGTTTGAAAATATTTGCTTTCTTCGTTTGGAAATCTTCTTTCAACAGTGTGTTCTTTTTCGGAATATTGGTTAAAGTAAACCAGTCATTTTTAACATAAATCATGTTATATTCCACTTTAAAGCCTTTGATTATTATCTTGTCTACACTAGAAGTGACGCAAGTTGACAAAAACCAATCAAGCCTTTTGTATTTGAGCTGAGATTTCGTCAGACACTAGGTCAAGTATCAGAGTAAGTAGATTTACACTTCACAACCACTGTGAAACTGAGTAGTCCTTATTTACAATCTTTGATATTTAGACAGGTAATGCCTAACGCTGTCGAAAGCTAAGCATCATATGTTAGTTATTTTATGACTAATTGTAGTTATGTCATAACTAACCAATCAGATTGGTTAAGCGCTCACCACGTCATCTAGTCTGACCAATGTATAAACTTTCTTTGTTGTGAATGGTCCATCGATTGAAGGATGTTATCATTTTATTTATATTGCTGTGACTCATGTTTTTTATTCATTTTCTAAAGACACGCTATACTGTCCGGTACGTTTGCTCATCCTGCTTGCTAATTGTAATTTCCTCATTTATTGTACTAATTTAATCGTTTCTTTTTGTTTAGAAACAGATAAAGTTTAAAACCGAATTGTCTTCTGTTAACTATAGTTTCACTTGGGACTCTGTCATCGGCGGTATTTGCGTTTACGTTTTAGAATTACATCTGTCGGACAAATTCAATCCTACATCATATTTACGATCTGATTGATATTCCAGTACTTAAACCCTAAAATACAACTTCAAGGAATTCATATAAAAGTTAGTCAAAGTTAAGTATACGATTATCATTTGTTTTGAAGTTTACCGTATGGAAAAATCGTTTTCATCACTGGAAATAGTCTTGAACTATAAACCATCTATTCTATGCTCTGATACTGTTAAAATCTGGTCATCTATCTGAAATCGTCGATTCAAAAGAACCATATTGCTTTCAAATCTTTTGATCTTATCGGATATTCAGAACACAATCATATTCCCCACATGATTTAAGAATATTAAAAATTCCCATTGTGAAAATTAGAACAACAGCTCACTGACCGAGATCGGCTACCCCAGCGCATTCATAAGGAAGCATATGGTTGATGTAAAAAAAGGAGTCAGTAGTTTCGACAGTCCGAAATAAGCCATTATTTATTAAATTACAATTCAACGGAGATGTGGCCTGCGATACTCTGCAGGACAGATTAATGAGAGCAATTAATAGAACATTCAATGCAGCCAAACTTATGTTGACCTTCTCAAGTCGACCAGCGATGTCTACCCAAACGAAGGATAAGTTACCTAAGTTGGCCTCCTCTATGTGCATTTACAAATTCAGTTGCTCCTGTGGAGATAGCTATATCGGGGCGTACTACCAGTCAACTTAACCAACGAATGAATGAGTGAACATCTTCCAGCATGGTTTAAGAAGGGTCAGTCGGAAAAATAATACGCAGTACAATCATATTCAGTCTCTTTGGTTTATGAGTGAACTAATCAACTTCAACATCATTCTTAAATAATGAAAAAAAACTTCCAATAGAAACTTGTTTCTTTAAAAAGCATATCAATGTAGGAAAATTCTATTTAAGTATATCAAAATACCTATTTATTATTGACAAGCAATTCTCAACCATCACAACGCAAACTCGCTGTTTTATAAACTAAATTTTTAACAGAAAAGCAACTTAATGATGACAGACTAATTTAATTTGATAAACATGACGCTGTCGATAAAGTAGTCTCTCAAGATTTAGTTAAACCTTCAGAAGGTAGTTTATCATCAATAGATCTTAATCTGAATGCTAATAAACATCTAAGGACACTGGGTAGCCTATTTCATCCGAACAGAAGACTCTCTAACAGTAGCATTTATGATAATAATTAAAAAGTTATCCTGTAAATTATCATCACAAAACAAATTACATATAATATTCTTACTTGTTTCTACATTTGTAGAGTATTGTTCGATAGGTTTAGATTGAATAAATAAATCCCATTGTACAATATTCAATCCATATGTTTTAATTTGTTCAATACATTGTTGTAAATAATTTAAATGATCATCTGGACGATGATACATTAGTCCAGTTAGTAGACACTAAAAATTAAATAAACAAATTTTATAATATTCAGCACAATTCTAAACTAATAAGCTCACCAGTTTGAAGGAAGAAAAAATATATCAATCTACTTAAACCGTTTTTTAGGGTGTTTGAATTATATAACTTGAAATCCACTCCACAAATCTCTAGTAAGTTAATGAGTCAACTTACATCAATAATAAAATATTTGATTTATTAAATATTTTGTGGTCATTCTGAGGTGTGAGCTACTTATAAGTAGTATATGACGTGAGTGTCAACGTAATGTCTGGCAGCAGAAGATGGGGGAAGATCAAGAAAGAGTTAGAAAACAATGGAATTTGTATGAAACGCATGAATAGTGACAATGGATTGATGTTGTTTGCAACAGGAACAGTCCAGTTCGATATGATGAACTGATATTTTGCAAATGGACGATTTACGATATGGTTTTCCGATTTTACTGAGTAACTCTGTAATTTTCGTTAAATACAATTCGGTTGCCCCACCTGTGTTATCGCTCACTACAATTCTACTTGTATTCTGTTTTGTTAACGGAAAAATAGTTTAAAATGGATTGTACAGAAATAGAAATTAAATAAGTCTTTCATTTTGTGTAGACCTTACATAAATGTTTGCATGATATACATGAAGTTATGTTTTAAATCAATTTCACAAGCTAATGATGTTTTGTAATGAGATCTTACTCATTCGTGGATAGAATTTTGGCAAAATCCAATAAACTTTAAACCTTTGTAAGGAGTAACGTTTGGAGTTTCAAAATGCAAATAACTGTGGCAATATTATAAAAGTATCAAGAAATAAGATTGTGTTCATGTTTGACAAAACATGTTCATACTTTACTGATGTTAGTCAAATCTTGAGTGATGTAATCCTCATTCAAATCTGTATTTATTGGCGTTATAACTTTATGCGTTCATAAAATTTCTAAAGATAATAAAAGTCACAAAACAAGTCTTCAAAGAATGTGAATAGACAAATTGAGGAAGCATTGGCTTTTAATACGATAGATCTGAAATCATGTTCAAAACATTTTGTGATGCGCTCTAAAATAGTGAAAATGAAAGTCGCATAAGTACTTTAGACAACGGTGAAAGATACGAGAGCTAGGCTTTGACAGTGCGTTTTTCTCCATCCGAATTCAAAATCGTTTTGTGTCACAAAATGCATTATGAGTAAATGTTTCTCTTAGATATGAGAGTGAGCAACAGGTTTTACTACTTAAACTATAAAACTTAAATAATAGTTAGCTGTTAATTGTTTTCAGACTATGAGAGAATCTTCTACATTCTAGGTTCATTTCGGGAAAAAAAGTTAAGTAATGGTAGTATTTAGTTTATTCCGTTGCATATTTTCAAAGTCTTAAATCTTATCCCAAAGTTGAGAGCTAGGGTGTGATTGATCTACCAATCAAAAATTGAAGTAAGTTATTAAATTACAAATTTAGATATGATAAACAGCAATCTAGGCATGATACTGTTGAGTAGAACATAAAAATAAAAAAAACTTAAGATCGAATCAAAATTTACTAAATATTTCTAGGAATGGTATTTTATACGATCGTCAGCAAACGTACTTCAAAAAGTTGTGGAATACCATTTTTAGTGAGGTAGTCTCTTCTCTCAACCATTATGTAACGTCCAGTCCTTGGGTGAGCCTGCCTCTATCCTGGAGGTACCTTTTATGTTAAGTGAGTGTAAGAAGAAGCGTATGAGATTATCTGTAAAAAAATAACAAAAGAAAGAGTGAGTCGGTGATTCAGACAACGAAGCAGTTCAAATAGTTGTGGATAGAATAGAAGCTTGTGGTTAGCCGGCTTTCGTATCTAGTAGCAATTGTTTACTGATATCTACATGCAGCAATCTACATACATTTACCGATTAAAAGAAAAACAATCGTAAATTATTATGAACTACTATCCTGACTCCCTAGAAATATGTCATTTTTTCTATTGAAGGACTCCAGAAAAGTCGCTTTACCAACTTAGTCCGTTACGAATCTCAGAGTTGACTAATCGTAAAGAGTAGCACGTATAGCTAGAGTCCATTCTGATATGTTGGGTTTCCAACATCCAGGGATATCCTCTAACGGGTGAAGATCTTGTGCCTTGTGACTTGAACATGAGTCCTCATAGTGATTCTCCGGCTCACTTCGGATACGTTACAGTTTATTCTTTGCCTTTCTGTAGTGAGGGGTAAGATGCCATTTCTATAGTTCATATAGAACAGAAAAAAACAGTTAAAGACTAGGTGTAAAGATCTACTAATAAACTGACAAAAATTCTTTTCAATGCTACTAGTAAAAGGTTTCTACAGGGAGCAGTTGTATTACATACAGCGTAAAATGTTGGATCAAAGGGTGCCAAAACTCTTAGATCTTTAAAACCTGAGTTACTTTTAGAGGACAGTTACCTAAGTTGCATTCATAGACCGCTGCAAGTCTCAGGTATACTACTTTGCAACTCATAATACTAGAAGAATGTCTACTGTTATTTGACTCACTCCCCAAATCGATTTAGATCCCCCGGGAGAGCCAGCTTATAGCCTTGGCTGCAAACTTATCTCAACAATTTAACAATGCAGGTGAAAATGAATAATTACATTGACAGAACACACAACTCACATACATTTGTAAAAGAAGATATCCGAAAAAACAAATAACACCAGCTTTAAATTACGATAAATTAACAATCAAAACAAGCAGTTGATAGCATAAGCGCGTTATAACATTTCATTTTTAAAGATACACACAACAAACGAATTTAGAAACTGATGCATTCAAACGAGGTTGAATGAACTCCAATTAGCATTAGTTGGTCCAAATTAAGGAACTTCTGATCTTTTAAATTCACTTATAGAAAGAGGAATCTTTCGTCATTTACATCATTTCTAGACTATTTTGAAACGAAGGAACCCAATACTCAATATATAAATTATTTTTTCCCAGTTTGGTACCAATCAAATGACTGGTTTCTTCAGACTTGCTCCTTGTTGCTTTGAAATAGATTCAAACTCATATTAAGTTCCAGATTCAGTTTGGCTAGAACAAAGGCTCGTTGGTCTGCGTTGATTCTAGCAATGCTGGATGAGTCTATAGACTGAACTTTTGTCACGCGTCGAACTAATGAATTCAGCTTGTTGAAGACTCTATGGGAATGCTGACGGACAGCTCACATGGACCTAAAATGCTGGTTAATACATGAAGAAAAGGACGGCTTGTTGAGGGAATCACTAGAGTTGATCTTGTTGAAGTGTGCTTTCCAGCATCAGCACCTCAGTATCTGACTATCAGCTGCTCCTTACCCCAATGATGAGCTTTCAGTCCCAGACACAATATTGATGAACAGAGCCACTCTCCTTTTTTGTCCTCTTTCAGTAAACGGATTAACTTGCTACTTCTGTGCCTCTCAGCACGGAGTGTTACGTCCAGTTTTTTGCTCGTTGATCTTACGAAGCACTGTTGTCGTCTATTTGTAATTCACGGTCCCAAATTTCTATACCAAGAACGAAACTCCAAAGTAGATACCAAAGTTTATTCCAAATCACAAATTCCACCAAAATATTTTATTACAAATAGACGACCAATGTCGTTCTTCTAATTTATTATCTCTTGGAGCAAAAAACTGCAACGAACAACAAAGAGAAACGGGAGTCCAATATGTCCGCAAATAATAATTCAAACAAGTTCACAAGTTAAGTAAAACAAATGTACCCAAAAACAGTGAAATTAATGATATTTATACATGAAGGTTTTGATCAGCAAAATGTCTTCGTTTCTCCCGTAACACTCCCGACCAAAAGAACCTTGGTTCTTTTCACCGACAAAAATAGATAACAACAAGCCAAATATGTGCATCACAAGCAATCAACAACAAGCATGCAATATTTCAACAATCTCGTGATCCCTAGGACTTACACCAGTACGCCTAGGGATCCGAGTAGCTACCTACCATCTACCGCTTCAAGAAGACACAGTTTACGTATATCTCTCACTAGGATCCCCTTTCTTGTCCTTAGTTCTACCTGTCTCACTAGTCTGTCCTTACTTGGTATCACTCTCTGTACTAGACCTAAGGGCCACTTGTTTTTCTCAGAGAAGTCAGAGCATATCATTACTAAGTCACCTTCTCGTATGTTCCTCTCTAACTGTGTCCACTTGTATCTACGCTGCAACAGTGAAACATATTCCTTAGACCAACGTTTCCAAAATACTTGCGCCAAGTAACTCGCTTGCTTCCATCTCTTAGAATACCTGTCATTAGATACAGTGTCGGTAAATTCTGCAACATTCTCTCTCAATAGTAATAGTTTTGCTGGTGTTATTGCATCAAGATCCCTGGAGTCGTCTGTAACGGGAACCAAAGGTCGATTGTTTATTATACGCTCCGCCTCTATCATAAAAGTTTCAAGGCATTCGTCTGTTAAAATTTGTTCCTTTACAAGAGCACCCAATACCCTACGTACAGAGCGAATCATGCGCTCCCACACTCCTCCCCAATGACTAGCGGCTGGAGGATTGAAATGCCAGTCAATTCCTTTTCTTAGTAAATCAGAGTGTATACGCTCCTGAACCCAACCTTGAAGACATTTTCTTAATTCACGTTCAGCTCCCACCAGATTTGATCCATTATCACTATATATCTCCTTTGGATAACCTCTTCTGCCGACAAATCTCATTAGTGCCATGATAAATGAGTCAGTGGTAAAACTATATGCCACCTCTAGATGCACAGCTCTCAACCTTAAACAAGTGAATACACAACCGTACCGCTTCTCAGTATTTCTACCATGTTTAACCATAAGGGGTCCAAAATAATCTACTCCAACTGATAAGAACGGATAGTCACAACCTTCTATCCTGATCGCAGGTAATGGTGCCATTAGTTGTTGAATTGGATGGGCGTTCCTCCTTTTACAATAAACACAATCCTTTATCACTCTCCTCATGGCTACACCACCCCTCAGCACCCAAAATCTTTCTCGGACCGTTGCCATTACCTGTGTAGCTCCGACATGTCCCTCCAAAACATGGTAGTACCGTAGAATCAAATCTGTAATTGTATGCTTCGATGGTAATATTATAGGATGCTTCCTCGACTCAGACCAGGAACTAATTTGAAGTCGGCCACCGACACACAATAAACCGTCTATAATTATTGGATTTAAGGTTCGTAAGGGTGAATTTGTTATTTTCACTTTGCTAATGGTATCAGACGACAATATTTCAATCTCTTTCCGAAATACTATGCTTTGGACATATCGAATTAAATCTAAACATGCTACATCTAGCTCATCAACTCTGAGCATACCCACCTGTAGAGACAGATCATTTCTGCCAGAATACATTATTAATAAATATCGCTTAAATCGGATCAACCATGCAACAGCCTTAAGTAATCTAGTCCAATCTGAATAATAATTAATAAGCAGATCAACGGTGGATTCTCCAATTATTACATGCGTGGACATTACCTTCTTTAATTCTAAGAGATGGGGTTCAGGACCTTGTACATCCGCTTCAGGCCAATACTCCTTTGACTTCTTCAAAAAATGTGGTCCCTCCTCCCATACCTTGACATCATCAATGTTGAACTTGGCTCCTCTGGATGCAAAGTCTGCTATGTTTTCCTTAGAAGGTACAAATCTCCATTGGTCCACTTTTGTAAGACTGTGGATAGTCGAGACCCGGTTGGCTATGAATGTTTTAAACTGGCTTTTCTCATTTCTAATATAATGTAAGACAATCATGGAATCCGTCCAAAACACAACTTCTGCAAACTTGATATCTAACTCAGACTGCAGCTGGGACCCCATACGCGCGGCTAACACTGCTGCTGTAAGTTCCAAGCGGGGTATAGTTTGAATCTTTAAAGGGGTTACTCTTGCTTTAGCCGTAATAAGACGAGAACATATTTCAGTGTCATCGATGTGAGAACGGATGTATGCCACTGCCCCATATCCAACTTCCGAGGCGTCACAGAAAATATGAAGTTCCAGGAGTGAGCGATCTGACTGTGGGATTAATACACAGCGTGGAAAACTAACGTTCTCAACCCTCTGAAATCCACTTAAAATCTCTAACCAGCGTTTGCCTTCCTCACTTGGAATCTCTTCGTCCCATCCTAGTCCCAATTTACTCAAACGCTGAAGTAACTGCTTCATAGGAAGTGTGAATGGTGCTAACAATCCCAAGGGGTCGTATAATGAAGCTACACTCGACAATATACCTCGCCTAGTGAGAGAGAGTTTCGGTATGCGAACTTTAAATTCAAACGCATCAACCATAGTATTCCAAAATAATCCCAATGTGCGTTCCGTAGGAAGTCTCTCAAAGTCAATCTCTTTTACGGCTTCTGCTCTCTCTTCTGGATTAATTGATTCGAGAACCTGTAAACAGTTACTTATCCACTTGGTAAGTCTGAACCCACCCTTTCTGAGTAGTAAACCAAGGGTTTTTGCAAGCTCGATTGCATCCTGCACATTATCAATTGATGTTAAATAGTCGTCGACATAGAAACTCTTATCTACAACTTCCTGGACATCTTTATTTAATTCCTTTCCGAATATATCTACCGTTTTCCGAAGAGCGAAATTAGCGCAAAAGGGAGAGGACACGGCTCCAAACGGATGAACTGTCAAACAATATTCTTTAGCCTTTCGTCCTATATCACCGTCTTCCCACCATAATAGTCGAAACGCTCCCCTGTCTCGTTTCGGAATCTTTACTTGAAGGAACATCTCCTCGATGTCAGCGGCTAATGCTACGTTGCATAATCTGAATCGTAGAAGTATACCAATTAAACTATTTACAGTATTAGGTCCTCTCAAAAGCTGATCGTTAAGAGAACAACCTTGATAGACAGCTGCACAATCAAAAACAATTCTTAATTTTCCAGGCCTTTGAGGGTTGATAACAGGATGATGAGGAATATACCAACAAATATCATCACGGTCGAATTCCTCCTCACTAGCTTCAATGATGTAGCCTTTGCTGAAATGTTTATTCATTACAAGTTGATATTTCTCCAGAAGACTATTATCCTTCATAAACCTCTTCCTTAAACACTCTAGTCTACGTTCAGCCAGTTCCAAATTATTCGGTAGCCTTGGCTTATCATACTTCCAGGGTAGACCAACTTGAAAATGGCCACCTTCCAGTCTAAAGGAGCTATTAACTATCTCTAGAGCTCTTTTATCTTCGACAGAATATTCATTACGAAACCCATCTGCGTCCTCGAATTCATGATTATATAATCTTTCTATATCTCGCAAAATATCATTAGTAGAACAATGACACCACTGAACTTGATGTAAAGACCTCGATGCTTCTTTAGGACCTAAAATCATCCAACCGAGATGAGTACGCACACCAAACGGATGCTTCCTGTCTCCCAGGCGTTGTTCAAGGACCCAATGTGCATCTGGAGCATCACACCCAATCAATATTCCTACTAGATTACTTTGCAGCCTCGGTAGAGTTATGTCCCTTAAATGTTTCCACTTTCTCAGCTGCAGTTCGGTTAAAGGCTCTGCATAATCGATCGGAAGTTTCTTGGTCGTATAGGCCTTGTTGATCCTTATAGAACCCCGCTCATCTAATGAAAATACCTCTAAATTCACTTCCAGACATTCACAAGTAGAAGT